TTTGATATCTAGCTGGATCACTCCCATAGTGGTCCCTATGCCGCCCTCATAGTTCGACAGGACCATGTTGTGAGGCTTAATGTCCTCATCCCTTTTGCCAATTTTCCTTAGCATAGAGTGAGGAATAATGTTGATGGTTGCCCCACAATCCACCAATATTTTATTCACAGTTGTTTCTTCGAGTTTAGCCCTTATGAACAAAGGCTTGAGGTGGTTTTTCATCGCCTCTGTAGGTGGCTCGAAGAAGCCATTTTGTTCCTCAGTAGTGCCATTGTCCATTACAAAATAGCACACTGGCCTATGTTTGGCCATTTCTTGCTCCACTTCCCAGTCACTTGCTTCGACTTCTACCTGTCGATTGAATTCTCTGGGCAGCACTGAAACTATATTCACCATTATGTCCAAAGTATCATCAGACTCAACATCGTCTTCGTCTTCGACTTCACTTTGGTTAGGCCAAACTATCCTGTTGGTTACTGGCTCTCTTTCTAGAGGTTTCCTTTGCTTCCTTTGAGGAACATTCGAACTTGTTTCTGCCTTTGGTTCGTTGGCAGCCTCCCTTTCAGCTTTTCGTCTCCTTTGATATCTCCTCCATTGAGTTCGAGACATGGGATTTTTACCTTTGTAGTTGCTGGACACTTGTGCAACCTTAGGTGCAGCAACCTGAGGCTCTTTCTTTTGAGTCAAAGAGGAACCCCTCGGCACGTCGAAAGAGTGCCATTTCTCCTCACTTGGCCTTTTTCGACCAGAGGTTTTGTACCAAGTGTCTACTGGCACATTTGTGGGAGGCCTAAAAGTCAATGGCCTCCTTTCTTGGTTTGAACCTCTTTGGGAAGTTCTTCTGGGATCATGTCGAAGGTCAACATTTTCCCTTCTCTTGTTCGCTGCTCTTACGCCTTGAATGTGCTCAGCAGCCTTTTTGTCAAAGATCGAACTGCATCTTGGACACAGCATCACCTCTGATTTCTTTTTCTGGCATCTTTGTAGAAAATCTGCCAAGTTTTCATTTTCCCGAGGGAAAGCAGTCTTATTAGCTTGTTCTTGCCTCATGGCCTCTTCTGATGCTTTTGGGTCAGAAAGTTCAACCATGTTGATATTCATTGTATATTTGTTAGCAAGAGTTAACTGCTTCATTTGTACCTCCAGATTCTCCGTCTGGCCTTGAACTGTGGCCAAGTGGGAGCTGGGTTTTGGTCCAGTTTTTTGTGCTTCAGCGGTCTCCAACTTCGGGCTTTTGACCGCTTTCTGAACAGCTTCAATTGTCCTCCTGGATAAATTTCCAGAAAAACTGCCAAAGATTGGCATGTTGATGTGGTCCTTTGAGACTTCGACCATGGTAATTCCTGGCTTCTTCGACTGGCTCCTGGTTGCCTCTATCACGTTCACCTCAGAGGGTTCAGCATAGTGGGCTTCAGCCTGTAATGGATTTGAGTCGACAGCCATGGGGGATTTGTCAGCAAACTTCAATCTCCCTTCTTCGATAGCGTCTTGCACAAGATTCCTGAAAAGAAAACATTGAGAAGTTTTATGGCCCAAAAAATTATGATATTTGCAAAAACCTCTTTTCTTTCTTTGATCAAGAGGAGGCACTTTTACCCCTGGGGGTACTATCATTTGGCCATCTTTAACCAGCAAGTCGAATATTTCATCACATTTTGTGATGTCAAAACTATAAGTATTTTTTGGGAACCTATCGTTGGTCCTTTCTGGACCAATGGGATTTTTCCCACTTGAGGGGACTAACAGTTTACAAGAGTATGGTGGCCCTTGTTTCAGTTCTGCTAAATCGACTTCTCCCTCTTCGACAGTTAAAGTATCGTCGAAGGATTCCGGATCTTCGTCATCCATCTCAACGTACGCTATCCTCTCTCTCATGTGAGTTTTCGTTGCCTTTGCCTTTTCAGCTTTGAGGCGTTCTACCTGTCGAACTCTATCGGCCAGTTGGGCCATGTCTCTTAGGTATTGGGTGTCTAGCTTCTTCCTAATGCAATAATCTAAACCGCCTGCGGCTATTTCGACCAACTCATGTTCTGGCACTTGTGTAAAACATCTCGCCTTGAGCAACCTAAACCTATTTAGATATTCGTCTATAGGTTCAGTGAAACGTCTCTTTACACTGGCCAATTCTTTCAGGCTTATCTTGGTTTGCCCCATGTAGAATTGTTCATGGAACAATCTTTCCAACTGGGTCCAATGATGGATCGAATTGGGGGGAAGAGTTGTAAACCAAGTAAAAGCGTTCTTTGTTAAAGAACTTGGGAAGTACTTGATTCTTAGGTTTTCGTTATTCGAAATGTCACCTGCTTCGATCAAGTATCTCGCCACATGCTCGACAGTAGATTCTGTCGTGTCCCCTGAGAACTTAGTAAATTTGGGGACTTTGCATCTAGGAGGTAAGTCCGTTTGTAACACGTATTCTGACAATGGGGATGTAAAGTTAGGCCTTCGAAAGCCCATGTTCATCCCATTCTGAGTCATGATCCTTTCGATCATGGTTGCCAGATTGTTTTCCAAACCCATGTTTTGGTATTGGATATGCTGAACTACTTCGTCAGCATTTTGGTTTCTGTTAACTAACCTTACCTCTGGGGTTATTACCCTAGGTTCCTCGACAGGTTGTTCCAATCGTGCCCTAAGGTTTTATTCGACAGGCTGTTGAGCCTGGTTAATGGTGGTTTCTTCCTCTAAAAATATCCCCTGGTTTCACCTTAATTGCGCCCTTTGGGGCTGTCTAATAGGTTGGGGTACTCCAAAGAAATCAGCCAAACGCGCCATTTGCGCTGTCACTTGCTGATTCGATTGAGTAGTGTTTTGTATTAGAGGGTTTAGTACAGTACTCAAAGTCTGTGCCAACATTTGCACCATATCATGGTTGCTTTCGTCCATTTGTTGCCTCAAGACTGCTGTCGAGGCATTTGTAAGGCCATGGGCTACTTGGGACGTTCCTCCTAAGAGTTGAGTCCTATTTCTATTCGCCATGCCTACTCCAGAGCCTTGGAGTGGCGAAGAGGCACTCACTAAAGGGTCTGAAAAAGTGGACGCAGCATTCGTCAGGCTTGCCACTTCAGAAGTTGGCATACCATAGAATGGAATAAATCCTGGGGGAACCAAAGGCCTTGTGCCTAAATTTCCCCTTGGTGGGGGAGTTCCCAAAGGCATCCTGGGGCCTGTGAACGAAGGTATTGGCCCCGTTGTTGTGACTGTTACTGCTGGTGTCGAACCAACAGTTGTCGCTTCACTTACGGTCGTACTAACCGTTGCTCCCACACTCGTTTGTGGGATTTCGTTATTGTTTGGCGGATTCGCCATCTCTTCCCTTCCTCTGGCAGTATTGTTATCGTTAGTGTATATTCTACCACTTCTCAATAACATACAACACTCCTCGAAAAGATGAGATTATTTTCAACAATCAACACACAGTCCCACCAGGTGTGCCAATTTGTTTACCTTGGGTTTTGGTAAACAACCGCTGATCTTCCAAATGGTTACTTATTTGGTTACTCGCAGGATCGATCAGATTGATCCTAGGACATAGGTTGATTTTGAAGTTTGATTAAATTGGATAAGGCTTTAAATAAAGAGGCTTTAAATAAAATAAAGAGGTTTCAAGTAAATTGCATGAAGGAAAGACTTGGTAAAATAAACAAGGCTTAATGTAAAAGGCTTCGACAGGAATGTAAAGAGGAAAGTAAGTAAATTTCTGGAAAAGTAAATGACTTTGATTAATAAAGTTGGTGTTTCACACATACATTTCTCAACAATTCTTTCTCACACGCTGGGTACTCGAATCTATATGAGTGACTTTGTATAGAATTGTGAACACACGCGAGAACTTACATGACTACCACTATTTATACTAAAACATCCCAAGTAACCGTCGGGCAGTTGCACTGCTTCGAGATCAATCCACTTGGCACGTTCTCAACGTTCGACGCTCCAGATCTTTGCACGTTGCACGTGGTAACTGCTGGAAACCGTTTTCCCTCCAAACGCTTGAATTTCAAACTGCTTCACTCTGAACCATCGAACACTTTCGTCGAGAGACATCTTCGACGAGAAACTCCTTCGACGTCGAAGGCAACCAACTTCTCCCTTGGAAGAAATCTTCTAAGTACTTTGCCATCTTTCGACGGGCATTTCGACAGACTTAGCCAGTCGAAAACATCCTTCAGCTTTAATGGCTGACATCAATAAAACAAGGGTGTCGAATTTAGGAGCCAACACTCACATTAGGTGTCTTTATTGAGGCTAATCTTAAGAAGTGTTTTTAGATTTCTATGTTAATGTTTTGTTAAGTAAAATGATTATGAGACTATAATTATGAAGTGCTCTTAGGAAGTGTGGGTTGTTAGGTTAAGTAAATTGTTTGTTGACGTTGTTATTGTTTAAACAAAGACGGACGATTCAACCACAAGCTCTCCTACAACTACCTCTCATAAGATTAAAAGTACACGAATTTCTGGAGGCGCCACGTTAATGGTCAAGTTGACAATAGTGTGTTAGGATGCTTATTGATTTTGATATAAAAAGTGGTAAGTGTTACGATGTAAATACTACGAATTTTAAGAGTTACACAATATTACTTGATCGAAGTAAATCGAACATTTTATTATATGATTGAAGCTATGTTGATATTGAATTGGAAAAGAAAAAATTGATTGATATTGAAGTATTTATTGTTATTTTTATGATTTGTTTAAAAGTATATATAATTTTTATTTTTTTACTAATATCAATTTTATTACTGTTCATGATAAGCTGATAAAGAAATAAATATAATATGATGGATAAAATATAAATTTAAGGTTTTTTCCAAAAAAAAAAATTATAAATTTAAGGTCAAATATAAATTGTTTATTAAAATCATCATTAAAGTAAAATTGATTAAGATTGTTTAGATGATACTTAAATTCAATGGGGCAATTTGGCTCCATTAAAAGTAGCTCAAACAATCATTATTAGTTTCTCCCACAACCGCAATTCATGCCTTGTTCATGTTGTTACGCTGACATAAACTTCAATGCGGCCAAACGTAGGTTGTGGACGAGTTCTTTTATAGTCAAGTTGTAGCCTTCACCAATCTGTACAATAATATAACATTAAAATTCAAATACAAACAATGCAATGACCACAAATGATAGTAATATAAAGAAAGAAACTAATGAAAAAAAGATTATGAGTAACCTTTACCTCAGCAATGATGGTAATGTCGAGGATAGAATCTCCAAAAGCTAGAACACTGTTATTGACAACAAATAATTCAAAACATTGAATCTCGGAGATGATTTTAACAAGAAGACCATTATGCTTTTGGCAATGGATCCGAATCAACATGTGTTGCTCTGAAACTTTTGCTTCCATCTTGAAGAAAGATTCAGTGGAAGTACCATCAGCAGCACTTTCAGTTTCAGTACTCTCCTCAGATGATGAATAATGCTCAACATCTGGTTTGATTGGAGTGACCGTCGACTGATCTGCCTTTGGTTTCTTTCTCTTCTCTTCTAAACTCTCCAAACGTTCCTTAAGCTCTTTGACGTATTTGATTGTCCCTGATAATATAGTAGCCTTGTCCATCTAATTAACACACGTAGTAGAGTCTCAGAACCATACCAATACGAGACTCAATAACATCGATAATAATTTGAAAAAATGAATAAATTAAATGTAATCCGCTTGCACACTCATCATTTTTCAGAGTTGATGTGTCCACAAACACAAAACATTTCTTCATATTGAAGTATAGAATTCAGCTAAGTAGATTACAGTAACATCATATATTACATACCTTCTTTAAGTCCGGAATGAGAGCGGCAAGAGCAATGAAGCTTTGGCTGAGCTTCTCTCTTCTCTTTCTCTCCGCCATAATGTGATCTTTTATATGAGCTGGAGACCTCCTAGCTCGTGATGCTTTTGAAGACTCTTTCGAGTTTTGAGCCGAAAATTTTCTGCTTTCCAATGAAGCCGAAGTCACTGTTTCGTTTTGTTTTTGAATATACGCACAAAACTCTGTCGGGTTTGGATTGTCAAAAGACAAGATCTGAGGCAACTGATAATTTTTTTTTCCGGTGATGTTATCATTGTCACTGTAATCAATTATTTTCATCTGTTTAGTTGGTTTTCCAAAATCAAAATCAAAGTTATCAAAAGACTCAAAACTGGTTTCATCTGTAAATGTTTCAGTAAGAGTTGTGGAAATACATTCTGTATCTAAACATTGACGCATGGTCTCTCTCTGCTCCTCAAAGGCAAAGACACTAGCTATATCATGTGATAGAAACTCTTGTTCATCTTCGAGATCAAGAAAGTTCGAGTTCGACTTCAAGTTGCAGTCCTTATCAAGCAATATGTATTCATCCACCATTTCCTGCTAGACATAAACAGCTAAGATTGAATATCTTTGAATAAAAAAAAAAGGAAGACTGAATTTGCTTTGAACTCCTTACCAAGTCAGATAACCAGCTGCTGTCTGCTGATATGTTTATTGGTGTCTTCATTTCCTCCATTATTGTAACAAGGTTTCACAGAGAGAGCACCAAGAAGATTGAAACTTTTCACTCTTAGCTTATGTGAATTCAGAATTTCACTCCCATGTTTGCTCTTTATTATAATAAATTATAGAAGCACGTGAGGATAATCTTGGTTTCTTGAAATGTGTATAACACCAAGAAGGTAAAATACAACTAGTCAAAAAAATACAAACCAAGATACAATGGTGTCTAATTATCTAGTAATACTCTTACACGTGCCTTCCCTCGAGTTGGGAATACGGAATACACATCATGTGAGTTTTTTTTTTAGGCAAGATGTTTATCATGTGATGTTATCTTAAACAATCCATCTCAATATTTTAAGTCATCAAGAACTATTCACGGCAGATAATCTTACTAGGTGACAATAATACTCCCTCCATTTGCATAATGATTATTATTATTTATTTATAAATAAACATATGCTAACAAGTGGTTATGTTATTTTTCTAGATCCAACATACAATCTTAAAGTTTTTGTTTCATTTATTATTTTTTTTGTCTATTTAATAAAAATAGATGAATTTGACCTATCTAATCGTTGAAATAAAGTCTTAGCAAAGACATATCGTGTTTGTACTGAATTAAGCATTTGAGATCTCCTTCTTAAATTCTTAAATTCTCATTCTTAAATTCTTTACAAATCAATTCAGGATGCAATGTGAGATCTAGCATTATTAATGGGAGGTGCGAGTCGCAATTTTCTATGGTCTTTGATTACAAACTTAACAAAAAAACATTTAATTCAATTTTCTATGGTCTTGATTACAATTTTCTATGGCTACCATGAGATGGAAGAACAAGAATAAATACCACAAGTATCTCAAGAAAGTGAGATACCAACTTTAAGGATGAGGGCGATACCAACTTGTTGTCCCTTGTTGGCTTTTATAAATATATCACTACACGGTACTTCAAACACGAGGGTTGGTAAAAAGAAAAGTATTAAATTGAATTTACATGTAGGAGATACACTTGGGCAAGCATGTTTGATGAAACTCTTAGTCGAGTTCTTCAGGCGAGGCATTTAGATAAGTCTATCTGATGAGACTCTTAGTCGACTCTCTCAAGCGAGGCATTTAGATGACCTGTTTCATGATACTTTTAGCCGAATTCCTCAGGCGAGGCATTTAAATGAACTTGTCTAATAACACTCTTGGTCGATTCCCTCGGGCGAGGCCCTTAGATGGTGTTTACCGTGAAATTTGGTAAACAACCGCTGATCTTCCAAAATGTGACTTATTTGGTGACTCGCAGGATCGATCAGATTGATCCTAAGACATGGTTGATTTTAGAGAGTTTAAATGTTTTAAAATAGAGAGTTTCGACTAATCCTAATGGTGATTAACGCAAGTAAGGTAGAGACACTTTAAGTAAATTGCATGGAGAATAGCTTGATAAAGTAAATAAAAGCATTAAAGGCTTGTTAAATAAATGACTTCGACTGAGATAAATAAGTGAAAGCGATAAATTGCTTGAATGTAAAAGATTTCGATTAAGGTAAATGGTGTTTCACACATACATTCTCAATGATTCTTTCTCTCACGCTGGGTACTTGAATCTAAATGAGTGACTTGTATATAATAATGAACACACTTAATAACTACGTGAACACTTAGTATTTATACTAAAAATCCTAAGTAACTGCTGGGCAGTTACATCACTTCGAGGTGACACCACATGGCACGTTCAAAACCCTCGACGCCTACTTCCACGCCACGTTGCGCTTGGTAACTGCTTGGAACCGTTTTCCCTCCAACAATTTGAAATTCAAATCGTTCGATCTTGGGCATCAGGGACCTTGGTCGAAAGGTTGCTCCTTCGACGTTGAAAACAACATGATTCCAACTTAGAGAAATTTCTCTAAGTATCTTGTCATTCTTTGATAAGCCTTCGATGTGATCCGCTGATCAAAGCCTTCTTGTGTAGGAAACTCTTCTAACTCATAATTAATGATCTATATGATAATAGAACGTGGGTGTCGAATTTAGGAGCCAACAGATGGGTATTTCACTTTAGTGATGAATCCAACGCTTGCTAACTTATTCATTTCTTTGTTGATGGAGGCTCTCTTCTCCTCGCCAACCTTTCGTTTTCTTTGAGACACTAGTCTCATGGTGGGGTCGACGACAAGGCATTGGCACACCACTCTAGTATCATTGATGGACATGTCATAGGGTACCTAGGAGAAAAAGTCGATGTTCCTTCCAAATTTGTGGACTAGTTCTCACTCTTCGTCCTTGGAAAGGGAGATGTCTATCTTTGTTACTTGATGACCAAAAATCCCAATATGAACCTTCTTTAGATCCTCTTTTGGTGTGAGTCTCTCATTCTTCACACCTAGTTTGGGATCCCAACCCGTGGTCTCCTCAAGGGTGACTTACTCATTCCTCGTCGTTGGGATGCTCTGATAAAATTCTTGGCCACTCTTCTAGTATCCTCAGACCGTTTTGACTTGTCGTCTAGATAACAGGTATTTCAGGATCATGTATTTGGTGAATAACATAATGAATTGATGGTTGGCCTGACAAGGACGATGTTATAGGGCGATAAGGCATCCACTATGAGGGAATTTTCTTTGATTTCCTTAGAATATTATCATGGTCCGCAGGTTGTTTCAAGAGATATGTGGCCCCCTACTCGCACCTGATTTCCTAACAATCCTACTATTGAGCCCTATAGTTCCTTAATGTTGCCATGATAGAGTTAGAGCTTCTAGAAGAGATTTAAAATAGAATGTGTGTCGAGCTTTTAAGATATACCATGACTCATTTTATATCCCATTTATCATATTGCATTGTGATGAGCATGGGGTTATTGTGAAGGAAGACATCAATGTCATCTCTTTTAGAGAAAACGATTATGGGCTTTGGACCTTCCGTGTGACTTTGGAGAGGATGGCATATATTATGTTTGTAGATAGTACTTGCATAGGGTATTTTCTCCGAGAGGAATTGGTATCTCCCCGCCAAGGAAACCTCTGGCTATAGTGTTTCCTATGATGTTTGGATCTTTCTTGGGCATTTTCGAAAGTAAACTGTGAAAGTGGTAGTAATAATGGAAGGTGTGGCCCAGGTCAGTTTTACCGGGGCCCCGTAGTGGGTGCCACACTACTTTCTAAAAAAGTACATATGCGTATCAACATTAGGTTGGCAGGGGTTGCTATAGAATTTAGAGTTTCTTATGTTAGAGCAAGCTCACAAGGGAGAAAAGCTCTACTTTTAGGTTGTTTCTATGTGTAAATATCATATTTTTCCTCAACCCTAAGGTTACGATATTTATAAGGGATTAGAAGCTTGGGTTTAGGGTTTAGGGTTTCTAGGAGATAAAAACCGCTAGTAAATGGGAATGGGCCGTTGAATCCCCATTTTCTATGGATATGTGTTTATTCCTAAAACTCTTTATCTACATCAGTTATGACCAAGACATGTCACCTCCCACTCAGGGAGAGTAATATGGGCCATGGGCGGCGCATTCTAGATGTAGGTGATACCATCTTGTCGCCCGTTTTAAGCCTTTACAAATATATCATTAAAATTGTGTTCCATGAGTAAATCAAAATTCAAAGTAAAAAGGCATGGGCTTATGGTTGAAACTTGGTACAAGTGTATTGTAATGGGAAATAATTTGTCTCTCTATGGTGACAGTTTACCAGCGAATATGAGGTGTTGGTCAGAATCACCATCTTCAGCCTTAACAAAGATATATGTACTTGCAAACACTTCGACAGCTAAGCCAGTGACAACATTAAGTGAGAGATTTTAGGATTATAATAGTTTATTTCTTGATATGTGCTTATGTTAGTCTTATATATCCTTTAGGATATTATATTAGGTTTGGGTCAGCAAAAGCTCACCCTAAAAGAGTTTTCCCTCAAGACTTTAGCTGACAAAGTTAGACTGGCTTGAGTCTGATGTTCTAATAGGGTTGTAAAATTCTAATTATGAATACATTTTATAGATTATTTTCAACTAAATATATTTTATTGTTCATTTTTTCGATTCCCTATATGATGAAATTCCCAAGTTTCGTCATGATGAAAGATATGAAGGTAGGTGCACTCAAAGTTTAAATGTTAAGTCAGTGGCACAAGATGTAGTTCTTTAATAAATTTTTTATATATTGAATAATATTTATGAAGTTAAACCATACTTATCCTGTCACCAAAGACTTATTGAGGAAAAATTCTTCCAGGTGAACATAAAATGGTTGTTAGAGGAGTATAAGAAGACTTTCATAGTTTGGTTTAACGGCAAAATTTTTAATGATGAGAGTGCATCCAAGACATATATGTCTAAATTTAATGTAATAACTTCGAGTGCACACAAAATTAGTAAAATTTTCCTTCTATACAAAATCAAAGAATGACCTTAGTACCACGTAAAATAGTTGACTAATGGTTGAGGCTGAACTCAGGTGCTTCTCTAGTTCCAAAGATAAGAATCTTGTAATGGCATTTAGATATTATTTTGAGGTCATTTAAGATATTTGTGAGATTGATTATGTTATATTTAAATTTCCTTTATGTAAAACCCAAATATAATATACATCTAGAAAATACATTATACATAGTGTAATTGATATTTAATACACATAAGAGTCTATCGGAAATATTATATATACATGTCCAAAAGAATACTTTACAACTATGGAACATAATATACAAAGGTGCCTAATCAAAAACTAGGATCTAAGCTGGTATCTACAAGATCTTGATTATATATACACATCCGAAGATTGCCATCCAAAAAGTCGAGTCACGAAAATTTATCAAGCAAGCATACCTTTGCTTTTCACCTGTAAAGAATTACCTGAAAAAGAACAATAATAACGAGTGTGATAATAATCTTAGTGTGCTCCATATCTTATTTTTCCACTCAGATCTACATCACCATGTGTACTCTTACACAATAGATAAATACTCAAGTATCAAAGGGATTTTTGTGTTGTATGGAAACATGAAAACTTGAGTTCAT